GAGGAGGCCAACCCTGTGAGATCTAATGGGTCTGTGGGAGGTAATTGGCAGCAGGCAAATTGTCACTTGACATCACACAACTGTTTGCTGGCTCCACATGGGACTCCCCAGGGTTGGTGGAAAAAGCATCTTTTGAGAGCTTTCCGGAAGACAAGCAGGGATGGGGCCAATCTCACGCGGGAAAATGGTGTTCCGTTGAGCACGGGGGGAGGGGGGCACAGCAGAAATGCTCCATTTTCTTGGTCCCACCAAGATAGAAGATTTTCAAAGTTATAACTTTGAATGGCTACTAAATATGTGGTTGTAAATTGACAACTACCTTTACATGGATCTTAAGTTATGAAGTACAGGAAGTTCTCAACTTACAACAGTTCATATAGTGACCATTATGGCCATTTTTCACATTGATGACTGTTGCAGCATCCCCTTGGTTACATTTTTTTAAAAAGTTTAATATAAATAATCCATCTTCCATTAAACAGTGTGTCATCTGGGTACAAATATTTTGTGCAATAACAGATAGAATTTACAATCATATTCATTATCTATTCCTAGCTTAATACCAATACCTTAAATGTCTAATACTATAACAATCCTCTTCTTGATTTATTTAACTCTTATTAACTCTATTAATACATTTTCTATATTTTACTCATCTACTTTTACTTCTAATTCTTATATTAATTCTCTAACCATCGATAAAATGATTCCCGCATAGTATAATAATCAGTTTGTTCTTTCTCTTTAATTGTCCGTGTCAATCTGTTCATTTCTGCACATTCTAATATTTTCCTAATCACATTCTCCTCAGTAGGGATCTCTTCACTTTTCCAGTTTTGTGCAAATACAGTTCTAGCTGCTACGTATTATGAAACATGGATAATCAAATATACATTTTCTTTGCTCTAAGTTCTCAGCTAAGTGTTTGGAAGGGCACACACAATCCCAGCGCTTCAGACCGCTATGCTGGTTTTGTTCACCCTGACTTTTGCAGAATGGTGTACGTTAAAAGCCCGGTTGCCCCCTACACATTGGCATTGCATCTTCTCTCCTGACTCATATTTTGCGATGTGTGTCTTGATTCGTAGAAGCTGGGCAACTTTGGTCCTCTCCGCTGCCAGGAAATGTATGCCCTTGACAGACTGGGAAGAGATGTGCAGGTTCTAGAGATGGCCAGTCGTCTGATCGTGGACCGAGCAGGGATGGCCGGCTCTGCTGAGGAAGGTAGGATCAGGGGCAACATCAGGCCCTGGCATACTTTGGGAGGATGGGGTCAACACTGAGCCATCAGAAGATATTGGCAGGATATATAGCTGATAACCTGGCATAGCCCGGGTATGTACTGTATTTATCCCAATCCTGTGTTAGAGGGAGTCCCCTTGTGGAGTACTGTGAAGCCATTACTATGACAACTCCACTGTGCTGTACAGTAGAAGTCTTTTTAAGGCACAACAAGCTGTAGCTTAACAGAACTTGAATCCAAAATGTATACTATCACTGTCAAAAGTACTATGACCTGACACTATACCCTGTTTCCCTGAAAATAAGACCTCCCCAGATAATAAGCCCAATTGGGCTTTTAAGCGCATGTGCTAAAATAAGCCCCAAAAAATGAACCCTCCCTGAAAATATCAAGAGGGAAAAAAAGAAACAAACCTTTTAGAATCAATTCTGAGCTAGGCATTTGTGACCTCAAAACTGCTAGCCAATCAGCTTTGGGCACAGCCGTTTTCCAATAATGAACCGGATGTTAATTTTGCATCCGGGTTGCTGAACTGGTTGTTGCCAGAATTGGCTGGCCCCGCCCCTCCCAGGAGTCTCCACACAGCCCATTCATCATGCCAGGTAGCGCAGAGGCTCTGGGAAGGTGAAAAACAGGCCTTCCGGAAGTCCAGGCTGGTTTCGCCCTCCTGGAGGCTCGGGGAAAGCCTCTGGAGCCTGGGAATGGTTAAAACATCCCTTCCCCTGGCCGTAGTGCAGGAGGCCGAGTAGGCCACGCCCACCATGGCCACACCCATAGAGCAACTAGGCAGAGAACCAGTTGCTAACATTTTTGAATCCCACGGCTGACCTTGATGATAAACTTAAGTGTATTTCCATTGGTATGAATAACTTAATATTTATAGTGGAGCGCAGTGGTTCACAAGGTTAGGACGCTGGATTGGAGAATAGCAAGCCCTCGTTTGAGACCCTGGTGCTACTGTTCGTTGGGGGTGAGCTCCCATCATTCGCTCCAGCTCCTTGATGATATGAAAAGAGCTTCCACAGATGTCCCACGGGCAATGGCAATGTCATTGATTAATCCTTTTGATCCAGAAGCCCCTTAAATGGTGCCTCTGACACAAATGGAGTGGGATTAACAATAATAGATAGGTGCTTCCAGAAGCACTTGATAGGGACACAGTGGCTCAGTGGCTAAATGCTGAACCTGTCGATCAGAAATGTCGACAGTTCAAATCCCTAGTGCCGTGTAATGGAGTGAGCTCCCGTTACTTGTCCCAGCTTCTGCCAACCCAGTAGTTCGAAAGCATGTTAAAAATGCAAGTAGGAAAATAGGAACCACCTTTGGTGGGAAGGTAACAGCGTTCCGTGCGCCTTCGGTGTTGAGTCATGCCGGCCACATAACCATGGAGACGTCTTCGTACAGCGATGGCTCTTTGGCTTTGAAACGGAGATGAGCACTGCCCCCTAGAGTCGGGAACGACTAGCCACACATGCGCTGGGGGAACCTTTACCTTTCTTACTTCCATGGGACAATGAAAAAAGTTTCATAAACTCAAGGCCGTGAATCGAGGCGAAGACTTTCCTTCGGATGGTGATGGGATAACCAGAAGGGTTAACTGTGGTCCTTGCTTCTGTTCTCAGTGGTCCAGTTCTCCAAGTGGAAGGAAGGAGTTTTCTCTTTCTGGGACAGATGTGTGGCTGTCCCTAATGTGTACACCTGCGCCGTAGAAAAGTTCATGCAGAACTTTAAGGCCGAATACACAGCACGCATCAATGACCGTCAGCCGGGCTTGGCCGATTCAGGTGAGGGTGTATTACATTCAAAACAATTCCTGCTTATTTCTCTCTCTTTCTCTTCTCCAGATTCTAGATTTTCAAATGGTGGAGTGCTCTGTGCGTGAAAGCATAGATCTGCTTTGGGAAAGACACATCATGTATGATTGACAGAGTCACTTGGGAAGGACAAATAGCTAACTCCTAGGCAATAGCAATAGCAATTAGACTTATATACCGCTTCACAGTGCTTTTACAGCCCTCTCTAAGCGGTTTACAGAGTCAGCCTATCGCCCCCAACAATCTGGGTCCTCATTTGACCCACTTTACAAGGATGGAAGGATGAGTCAACCTTGAGCTTGGTGAGATTCAATCTGCCAAACTGCTGGCAGCCGGTGAACAGCAAAAATAGCCTGCAGTACTGCACTCTAACCACTGTGCCACTATGGCAGCTTTCTGAGTACCAATAGGAGAGAATATTTGTGTAGCTTAGAGTTGAACTGTGGGGTTCTTGGTGCTCTCTGAGCTTGGTTGTCTTCTTGCAGATGTTGCATTGCCCAGCTGTTGTAGGAAAAGACAGGACATTCAAGCCAGCTCTTCAGAGAAGGAAAGTTAATTTGCACAGGTTCAGAATAAATGGCCTGAATATTGAGTGAAATTCAGGAACTTCCTCAGATAGCTAAAGCCATCTGTTAGTTTTGGAAACCCCCCTCAAGATTTGCCCT